GAATAGAGGGAGATAGAATAAGAATAGAGGACAAGGGCAATCATAAATAGCATTTGATTGTCTTAGGCACAACAGGTACTAAGTAAATATAAAGAATGTCAAGGTTAGTCCAAAGAAAGGACATGAAGTTAGAAGTCAGTATGCCAAATATCTTCCCTTTTTAAATGTAGCCCTAATGTAAGAAGTTGGGATATGTGAAAAACAGGATCAGAAAAAAAGTTAACATATCTGTTTATGTTATAAAATCAGCTCAAAATCACCCAATGAATTAGCCACTAAACGACACTTGTTAAACCATCCACTTAACAACAAAACTTTGTTGAAACCTAAAAGAGTTAGTCATGATGCTAGCTCATGATCCCTGACCTCAAAAAAAATTCTTCAGAGTCCAATAGAGGGAGACGGGTATGTGAACTCAAGAAGGTAACACAGTGTTAAATGTGGTATAATTGAATAACAAGATACAATTAGGTAAAAGGAAAGAACTAACCAATACTATGTGAGGCAAGAGTAAAGAAGGGGTTAATGAAGATTATACACCCAAATAAATACAGAATCAAATTCATTCATGTGGTATTTTAAACAATGGTTTCTCTTTTTTTAAACAAATAACATTGAGTTAATTTTTTTTCTGGTTTAAGTATAAAGACATATTGGTTAATCATTCCAAACTATAATAAACATTCTGCTATTCAAAGAGACAAAAATAAAAAAGTAGAAAGAAAAGAATTTGATCTAGGTACATATTTTACTTGTTTAGTTATTCATTTTTTTTACTTTATTTATTTTTAATATTTTAATTTGTTTTAATTAGTTATACATGACAGTAGAATATATTTATGCACTTTGATATGTCATACATAGATGGGATGTAATTTCTCATTTTTCTGAGTGTACATGTTGCAGCATCACATTGGTCATGTAGTCACATATATACATAGAGTAATGATGTCTGTTTCATTCTACTATCTTTTCTATCCCCACATCCCCTCCCCTATCCTCCCATCACTTCCCTCAATCTAATCTAAAGTAATACTAATCTTTCCTAGTGCCCCTGCCTTATTGTGAATTAGAGAAAATACATAAGATAAAACATTCGACCTTTGGTTTTGTAGGATTGGCTTATTTCACTTAGCATGATGTTCTCCAAGTTAACCATTTACTGGCAAATGCCATAATTTTACTCTTCTTTAAAGCTGAGTAATATTCCATTGAGTATATCTAAAAAATTTTCTTTATTCCTTCATCTATTGAAGGACACTTAGGTTGGTTCCACAGTCTAGCTATTGTGAATTGAGCTTCTATAAACATTGATGTGGCTGCATCTCTATAGTATGCTGATTTTAAGTGATTTGGGTATAAACCAAGGAGTGGAATAACTGGGTCAAATGGTGGTTCCATTCTCAGTTTTCTGAGGAATCTCCATACTGCTTTCCATAGTGGTTTCACCAATTTGCAGTCCCACCAGCAGTGTATGAGTGTATCTTTTTCACCACATCCTCGCTAACATTTATTGTTGCCTGTATTCTTAATGATTGCCATTCTGACTGGAGTGAGATGAAATCTTCAGAGTAGTTTTGATTTGCATTTCTCTAATTGCTAGAGATGTTGAAAACTTTTTCATATATTTGTTGATCAATTGTATTTCTTCCTCTGTAAAGTGTCTGTTCAGTTCCTTAGCCCATTTATTGATTGGGTTATTTATTGTTGGGCTTTTTTTTTTTTAGGTGTTAAGTTTTTTAAGTTCTTTATCTATCCTAGAGATTAATGCTTTATTGGAGATGCATGTGGTAAAGATTCTTTCCCAATCTGTAGGTTCTCTCCTCACATTATTGTTTCCTCTGCTGAGAAGAAGTGTTTTAATTTAAATCCATCCCGTTTATTGATTCTTGATTTTACTTCTTGTGCTTTAGGAGTCTTGTTAAGGGAGTCAGATCCTAGGCTGACGTGGTGAAGATTTGGGCCATTTTTTCTTCTCTTAGCTGTAGGATCTCTGTTCTAGTGCCTAAGTCTTTGATCCACTTTGAGTCGATTTTTGTACAGGGTGAGAGATAGAGGTTTAATTTCATTTTGCTACATATGGATTTCCAGTTTTGCCAGCACCATTTGTTGAAGAGGCTATCTTTTCTCCAGTGAATGTTTTTGGCACCCTCGTCTAGTATGAGATAACTGTATTTATGTGGGTTTGTCTCTGTGTCCACTATTCTGCACCATTGGTCTACAAGTCTATTTTGGTGCCAATACCATGCTGTTTTTGTTACTATTGCTCTGTAATATAGTTTAAAGTCTGCTATTGTGATGCCTCCTTCTTCACTTTTCTTGCTAAGGATTGCTTTGGCTATTCTGGGTCTCTAATTTTTTCAAATAAATTTCATGATTGTTTTTTCTATTTCTATGAAAAAATGTCATTGGGATTTTTAATAGGGATTGCATTAAATTAAATCTGTATAATGCTTTTGGTAGTATGGCCATTTTGGCCTAAACTCATCAATCAAAAGACATAGACTAGCAGATTGGATTAAAAAGCAAGACCCAATAATATGCTGTCTTCAAGAGACTCACCTCATGGGCAAAGACATCCACAGGCTAAAGGTGAAAGAATGGGAAAAAACTTATCACTCATATGGATTGTGTAGACAAGCAGGGGTTTCCATTCTCATTTCAGATAAAGTAGACTTCAAACAAAAATTGATCAGAAGAGACAAAGAAGGACATTTTATACTTCTCAAGGAAGTATATATAAGCAGGGCATAATAATTAAGCATCTATGTACATCAAACAAACCCTTTTCAATTTCAAGAGTCAAATAGACCACAATACAATAATACTGGGTGACTTTAACACACCTCTCTTACTAGTAGACAGATATTGCAAACAAAAACTAAATAAAAAAACTATAGAATTAAAAAGTATAATCAATAATTTAGACTTAACAGACAAGTATAGAATATTTCATCCATCAATGAGCAAATATACCTTCTTCTCAGCAGAACATGGCTCCTTCTCTAAAATAGACCATATCTTATGCCACAAAGCAACTTTTAGTAAATACAAAAACCAGAAATAATACCCTGCATTCTATCAGACCAAAATGGAATGAATTAGAAATCAGCGATAAAATAAAAAATAGAAGATACCGTAACAAAGGGATACTAAATAATACACAGTTGAATGATGAATGGATAGTAGAATAAATCAAGATGAACTAAATTCTTTGAGGTAAATGAGAACACTGATACAATATATCAAAAATCTCTGGGACACTATGAAGGCAATACTAAGAGGAAAGTTTATTGCATGGAGTTCATGTCTTCAAAAAAGAAAAGGTCAACAAATACATGTCCTAACACTACATCTCAAAAACCTAAAAAAAAAGAAGAAGAAATCAACACCCAAAGCAGTAGAAGACAGGAAATATTTAAAATCAGAGCTGAAATCAATGAAACCGAAACAAAAGAAACAATTGAAAAAATTGACAAAACAAAAAGTTG